GAGCGCCGTAAGGGATTGCGAAGATTCTTCTGATGCTGAAGTATTGTGAAAACATTTTAGAATTTATTAAGTTTCCATTAAACTTTTGTAGGAAGGAAAAACATTAAGTTTTTGGGAACATTATTTTCTAACAATTTTAACATGTCATTTTTAACTATTATTTTTTTTAGATATTTATACCAAACCAAATCCCTGGCTAAATAGAACCGCTACTGATCATCGGAATCCTTGTAGAAGCGCCTCCTCGTCCATATTCCTCCCTCTTTTCCGTTTAGATACGTGTATCTTTCTCGCTCCCACTCCTGGAAGATTTGCAATTCCAATTGGCGACGTCTGCTCCTGCTGCTGATGATTAGTTGTTGGCTCTGCGTCCGCCTGTCCCTCTCTCGCTCTCCCGCTCTGCCGACATATAGCCCTCTCTGTCTAGTCTGCAGTGGGGCTTTCTATGGCCACGTTTAACCTTCTTTTTATTGCACACACGATGCAATTATTTGTTTTATTAACTGTTGAACATGTTTTCTCCGCGCACATTGCACCATGTTTTCCCACTGATATATAAGTCGCTTCCAAATTGTAAATTGCAAATTTTATTAATTTCTGCCCATGGGAAACTTGTTCTCCAGCGATCGCACTCCGTGTGGGGTTCTCCTCCGCTCGAATTGGATTGGGCTTGGTTCGATTCTGTTGGGCTGAGCAACTTCCAGCATCGAGAGCTGTGGGTTGGTCGGTAATTAGCCTTTTAAGGTTCCTGTGCTTGGGGGAAATTAATGGTAATTGTCGAAGAGGTGGGCTCAGATCGATTGGCCTGCACAGGATGCTTGAATTTGTAGATACACTACTACATAGGTACTTAATGAAATGTTTAATATAAAACACTTTCTCTTAAAGGTATTTAAATTTCACAGCTAATACATATTGTGCACCGCTCTCAAGTCGGGAAATGGCAATTTTTCATTGGCTAAGCCTGAAACAGGTTGATTTACATAAAGGGCAAAACCGAAAAATTAATTCTCCCACCCACTTTGTAAACAGTAGAGGAAGGGGTGACGGGAACGGGTCGTGAAGTCAGCAACACTAACATTAACTCCGCCAAAAGATTAATCAGTTAAGCAAACATAATAAAAGGCTAAGCGCTATTTTGCGACATTTTGATAAATATCGAATCAAAATAATGCGTCAAAATAATTAATCATGATTAAACGGAGGTCAGAGGCGTAGGCGGGGGGATTAGCCAGTGCTAATGGTCAATAAATGAGACAGCAGGGACGGGCGGGAGAACAAGTGCTTGCCATCACACGCCATTCTCGAATTAGTGGCCTCTGGCCAGCAAAAATACAGAGGAACGAGCCTTACTCCTCTCACAAATCACCCCACCATGACTGAAACACTCTTGCCAAAAAAATGTCACATAATCGGGAAAATCAAATGCAAATGTAATAAATCCGTGTGAAAGGGGGTGGTTCCGGGCCACCCCCCGATTTGTATTTATTTACTTGCGACTTTCGACGCATAATTTAAGGTCCTGACAAACGAAATCCCCCCGAAGTCAATTTATATTCAAAGCCTTCCCCTCAGTTCCTATGTGTGGGAACTTTACCATGCGGTCTCGCATCAGTCAGGATGTCAGTTCGATGAAGAAGTCCGAACCCTTTTTCTATCTTTCCCCAAGTTTCTCCTGAGTTTTTCGTCCGTTCCGGAGCTCCACTTGTTGTGTGCAAGTAATCAAGTTTACTTTTTTCATAAGAAATACCACAAAAATATGACTTAATTCTCGCCTTTCGCAACATTATTTATCTTTTAAATATCATTTATCTTACATAATAAATAAATTAATTTAAAAATGCAAGTTTTAAGATAAAAAAAAATAAAAAACAATTATCAAATTTGTGCTTTAGCATCGAGCTCGTCCTTTTTTTTCCAAACCCTCAACTTTTTCACAGACTTGTTTGTTTATGTGAAATTTAATCAAAATCGGTGTTAAGCAAGCATTATTCACATAGGCCCCAAGGGTGACATTCGATGGCGTTTAGCACGTGCAAGGCCGCTGGGTGGGTGGCGGTAGGTGGAATGGGTGGTTTGGCCACAACCCTTAATTGCGCGTGTAATCAGTTGGCCAAGGGGGTTGGCAACCGCCAAGGGAAAACGGAAAAATAGGGGGAGGCGGCCTAATGCCCTGTAAATGCAACTAAACAGCTTGTGCAACGCTTTTGGACAAAGAGTGCCGGGGGATTTGACTTCGGGGTGATGTAAAGTGGCGTTGATGATGTGATTCCGATTTGATTTGATTAGATTGCATTGCATTAGCGGAAGATTGATGGAGCATATGTCAAATAACATGTTAAATGAAAAAGCATGTAAGCAGATTAGTTGCATTTTTGCTTCGACTTTTATTGTAAAAAACAATTTGACATGACAATTTGCCTTTGGCAGCTTTCTAGATGCTTGCTTTAATTAAGAGATTACAAGAAAATGTTTAGCTCTGATACCCCCGCAGATATTAACTTCAGTCAAAAGTTATCCGCGGTATAAAATAGGGGAGCCCTGAAAGTTGGGAGGTCTGTAAGTAGGGACACCCCATTTTCTTAAAACTTGTCCACAAAAAAAAAATAAAAAAATATATTTTTTTAAGTCTTTCTTTGTATCAAAACGTTTGCGTAAAGCACTAGAAGCGTAAAACATTAGGCTCAAGTCAGATTTAAGCTGTGACACTCGTGTACCATTTTTCACCAAACAAGTTTTTTTCACTTTTTTGAAAATGTTTTTTGAAAATTACCTAGTCACCTTGTCAACCAAATGATTACTTAAGTGCAATAAATTTTCTTTTGTATGAAGAAGTGATTAGCTGGGGGGAGGGGGTTAAAAATCACCAAAATTGTGATTACGTAATATATGGACAGCCCCTTAGGGAAAATGTGATCGTTCAAAGAGCATTTTGGATTTATTTGTTATTTGGTCTAAGTTCTTTAAAAATTTATGTGAAATAAGTTAAAACGAACTAAAATTGATTAAATTAACAGAAATAAATAGTTATTTTAAGTTTGGAATACTTTTCGTGTAAGTTTTATTAATTTTTAAAAATCTACCAACTTACAGACCTATTTTTCAAAATGTCGTTTTTTGGCACTTTAAAAAAAATGTATTTTTAAGTTTTCCCCAGGGGAAAAATATATTTATTTGTTTTCATTCTAAGTTAAAAGCCAAACTTTTTAATTGGTACCTAATGCGTGAAGTTTTATTGTCCAAATAGCAAAAAAAATCAAAAGGTTTACCAACCTACAGACCTCTCCCCTATATCCAACAAAAACCGCATTTAGCGATATAAAAATCTCGTGATGATATCAACTTTTGTGACGAACACTTTTTATACATTCCACTAAAATTTTCCGAAATTTTTGCAAAGGGGTCGCTGTAGCAAAATATTATGCTGAACTTGAAAAATGTGTAATCTTAAATATCATTACTTTTGAATGGATAGTCCAATAGGCATACTTTTGTTACCGCTCAATGCTCATTATACCCGTTACTCGTAGAGTAAAAGGGTATACTAGATTCGTGCAAAAGTATGTAACAGGTAGAAGGAAGCGTTTACGACCCTATAAACTATATATATTCATGATCAGGATCACTAGCCGAGTCGATCTAGCCATGTCCGTCTGTCCGTCTGTCCGTCTGTCTGTCCGTCTGTCCGTCTGTCTGTCTGTATGAACGCTGAGATCTCGGAAACTATAAAAGCTAGAAGATTGACATTATGCATGCAGATTCTAGGAGTTCCTACGCAGCGCAAGTTTGTTTCAAAAGGGTGCCACGCCCCCTCTAACGCCCACAATCGCTTATATACGATTTTAAAAATTTCAAATTTCGGAAAAGTAAAAATGCAGTTTTATGGTGTTTATCAATACCTATCGAAATGTAGAAGAAATTTTTTTAATCGGACAATTCGTTAAACAGTTACGGCGGATCAATGTTTTTATCTCCATCTCCTTCGCACTTCCTTTAGCTGAGTAACGGGTATCTGATAGTCGGGGCACCCGACTATACCGTTCTCTCTTGTTTTTATAATAGGTCATTCCACGTGAAACGTGACATGCTAATTTGGGTCAAATCTCAGAATAAATCGAAACTTTTTTTTTTCGATAAGGGATTGAAATATAATGAGCCGTTCTTGATTTTTTTTTTATTTTTTACCGTATATTTAAAAAAACAAGAAAGGAAGCTAGCTTCGGCCAGCCGAAGCTTATATACCCTTGCAGATAATTTCTATTAATCACTAATTTTCGCAAAATTTTATATTTCGTATTGTTTTGACATTAATTTTTCTATCCTTCCCTATAATATAGTCATCCGATTTTTGTTAAATGCCGAAATTCAAAATTCCGAAATATGAAAAATTATCATATCCTAGAGTAGAAGAGAATACAATAAAAATCAACGGAGCTATAATTTGTTTCCAATTAATTTCCCATTAATTTTTAGATCGTTCCTATGGCAGCTATATGATATAGTCGTCCGATTTTTTAAATATTTAAATCGAAATTCAGAAATATTTAAAAAATAACATCCCCAAGAGTAGAAGGTAATATTTCAAAAAACACCGAAGCTAGAATTTTTTTAACGATTTTTTTTCCGACCCTTTCTATGGGAGCTATAAGATATAGTTGTCCGATCCGGTCGGTTCCGACTTATGTACTACCTGCAATTTTATTGTATATTTTAATTAAAATTTTAAAAATTAACCGCTAATTTTATTTTTATAAAGCAGTTCTATTATTTCTAAAGCAGTGCTCGGTTTGTGTCTGTGCTACTATAGTGAAGTAAAGCCCCAGTCGATAACCTTTTCCACCTATCAAAGGTAATGTTCCACACTAACATATTTAAAACGAAAAACATCGATGATTCCAAAAATAATAAAATAAATCGATGCATCAATCGATGCTTTAGGTATTTATATACTACGAAAAATACCACATCCAATTTTAGGACGTTTTGCGTACCGGGTTTCGCAGGGATTTTCCGGTATTTATATACTACCAAAAATTGTCCGAAATTCCAAAATTCGCAACCCAACTTAAATAACAGCAAAGTAGCCGTAATGCAACGCGTATGTAGATGACAGCTTACCAGACGCAAGGACATGACTTAAGTTTACCCAAATGAATCGTTCCAGGGCATCGACTCCTTCTTCAAGCGGCTGCCCGCGAAGCCGAAACAGGCGGAGGAGGAAAACGGGGAGACGCCGTCGAAGGCGCCAAAACGGCGGAAGGCCCTGATTATTTCCAGCGACGAGGAGGAGGTGGCCGCCAGCCCGCCGGAGCCCAAGAAGCGCAAGGCTTCGAAGGCGGCCTCCAGCGAGGAGGAGGTGTCGGCCACGCCGGAACCGGATGCCAAGAAGGCCAGGAATGGCCAGAAGCCGTCGCTCTCCAAGCTGAAGAGGCACGTGGATCCTTCCGAGCTCTTCGGTGGCGAAACCAAGCGGGTGGTGGTGCCCAAGCCGAAGACCAAGGCGGTTCTCGAGTTCGAAAATGAGGACATAGACCGGAGTTTAATGGAGGTCGACCTGGAGGAGAGTGTTAGGGTTGCATCACCTCCCCGCAGACCTCCATCCCCCAAAAGAGCCAAGAAGAGCAGTCCGGAAGCGGCCAAGCCCAAGGCCACCAAGTCCAAGGCCTCCACTCCGCGTGCGAAGAAGGAGAAGCCTCCCGCTGACCTGGAGTCCAGTGTCCTTACCGACGAGGAGCGACACGAGCGGAAACGCATGACCGCCGTGCTGTACCAGAAGTACAAGAATCGCAGCAGCTGCCTGAATCCCGGCAGCAAGGAAATTCCCAAGGGCTCCCCGGATTGCCTGAGTGGACTGACCTTCGTGGTCACCGGCGTCCTGGAGTCCATGGAGCGCGAGGAGGCGGAGGCCGTGATCAAGGAGTACGGCGGAAAGGTGATGACCGTGGTGGGAAAGAAGCTCAAGTATCTTGTCGTGGGCGAAGAGGCGGGACCCAAGAAGCTGGCAGTGGCCGAGGAGCTCAACATTCCCATTCTCAGCGAGGATGGCCTCTTCGACCTGATCAGGGAGAAATCCGGGCTGTCTAAACCGGTGAAGGAGGAGAAAAAGAGTCCCAAGGAGGAGCATAGCTCCAAGGAACGGGAGAAAAAGGAGGCCAAGGCTTCCAGCAAGTCCAAAGTGAAGGAGGAAAAGGAGGACACTAAGCCGAAGAGTAGTGAGCGTAAAGTCAAGGAGGAACCCTCTTCCTCAAAGGTAAAGAAGGAAAAACACGATGATGAGCCAGCTGCTACCCTGAAAGTAAAGAAGGAAAAACAGGAGGATGTGCCTGCTGTTAGCCTGAAATTAAAGAAGGAAAAACAGGAGGATGTGCCTGCTGTTACCCTGAAAGTTAAGCAGGAGCCCAGCTCCCAGGAACAAAAGGTTTCGGTGGCCAGGTCTGCCGAACCGAAGACCCAGGATTTGATCGGCATGGCGTGGGTCGACAAACACAAGCCCACGAATATCAAAGAGATCGTAGGCCAGGCAGGAGCCGCTAGCAACGTGACCAAGTAAGTGGCTAAAGTGTGCAACAAAAATCAAGGAATGGTAATCTTGTGTATTTCGTGTTGATGTAATATTTAATTAATTAATTAGTATTTAAAATAGGTAGTGTAACACTTAGGGAGAAAACATACTGTAGATTGTAAAACGTTTTTATTCGACTGTATAATTTTTGAAAAATACTCCCGGAAAATTTCAAGTAGACGATATAAAACCAACTTTATGGGGTGTCAAGTAAGAACTAAAACGGATTTCGGTTAAAAAAAAATAAATTTCCGTGTCACCCCTGAATAATATTAGTAGAAAACAAGAAAGGAATCTAGCTTCGGCCAGCCGAAGCTTTTATACCCTTGCAGATCATTCCTATTTATTTACAAATCGCAAAAATTTTAAATTTCGTATCGTTTTGACATTAATTTTTCTATCCTTCCCTATGGCAGCTATATAATATAGTCATCCAATTTTCGTAAAATTCCGAAATATTAAAAAAAAAACATATCACTATGGACGGCAGTCCATGTAGTGACGAAGCGCACCAGGAGAGTGTGCGAAGGCGACTACTATTATATAGCCGCAAAATTGAAAATCTGCTGTGATAGTCCGATCGTAATGAGTAATACACCAATCGAAAGGTATTGCAAAAACTTAAAGGATTGCATACCAAGACTTTAAGAAAATCAATTGGTTTGGGAGAGAGAGAGGTGAAAGTGAAAAAGTGAAAATTTCGAATTTTGGAGCTGTTGGGGCCGGTGGGGATAAAAGCCCCCTCGCAATATTTTAGTTGTATTCCTATTGAAAATACCCGTCGAATGAGGGGTCATATGATAAAATCCGACGCTCCGTTCAAAAGTTATAGCCAAAATAAGATTTTCTTCTTCTTCCCAAAATGAAAATTTAATTCTGTTTGTCAGTTTGTCCACTTGTCCAAAATATGTTTTTTAAGTTCTGAAAATTTAATATGACGTTCATCACATCGATATAAAAAACTTTTGTTCTACCACTTTTGGAAAAACCCGCTGCTTTAGCGGAAAAGAAGCTAGAAATAGCTAAATTTCGTTAGTTCGTAAGTTCTACACTACTGAAGCTACAGACATGTGCTATACCTCGTTTAAAAGGTATTTTGAAATACTTAAACGCCTTTTTAACTTAATTTGTTTAAATACAATGGTTTACAAATTATGATTGACCAATTTAAATTTAAATGTATATACTAGCTCCTATGAGAGCAAATATAAACAAACAAAAACTTCTGATATCAAATAAAAACACCTCTTAACGAGGTAAAAAACTAGTGACGATCGCACCTTCAACATACAAAAGTTTTGATATCAACATTTGTGACGAAAAATTATTACACTCGTCATTAAATACACTTTCTAAGATTTTCTCATTCGGCACGCTGCAATAGAAAATGCCTATAAAGGTAAAAAGGCTAAAATAGTATGCTAGGGCGGGCCGAATGAGAAAATATTAGAAAGTGTATTTAATGACGAGTGTAATAATTGTTCGTCACAAATGTTGATTTCAGAACTTTTGTATGTTGAAGGTGCGATCGTCACTAGTTTTTTACCTCGTTAAGAGGTGTTTTTATTTGATCCTAGAGTAGAAGAGAATACAATAAAAATCAACGGATCCAATTAATTTCCCATTAATTTTTCGAGCGTTCCTATGGCAGCTATATGATATAGTCGTCTGATTTTGATCAAATTAAAATTGAAATACTACTTAAGAAAAAGTTAAATTTTATATTCGGTCATTCTCTGTTTTTTTTTAAAGAATTTTCACATTTTAAACTTTATTTTCTGTTCAAATGATTTGGGGTATTGTGTATACACTTGCTCAGTATTAAAATATGGAAATTAATTGTTGAATTTATGGTAAAACGTTGACAAAATAACCCATGTTTACCTTAAGAGGCAAGTTTCTCAATTAAATGCTGTCGAGATTTTATGGGAGCAACCGTAAGATCAAAACACTAACTTAATTTCCCATTGATCGACCTATTTTCACAATATAATTCATACAAAATCTTAACTTTTTATTTAATTTAATCGCAATTTCCCAGGCTAATGAACTGGTTGTCCAAGTGGTATGTAAACCATGATGGAAACAAGAAGCCCCAACGGCCCAATCCTTGGGCCAAAAACGACGACGGCAGCTTCTACAAGGCGGCCCTGCTATCGGGACCGCCTGGGATCGGAAAGACCACTACGGCGACTCTGGTGGTGAAAGAGCTGGGCTTCGATGCGGTGGAGTTCAACGCCTCGGACACGCGGAGCAAACGCCTGCTCAAAGAGGAAGTGTCCACGCTGCTGAGCAACAAATCCCTCTCCGGCTACTTTAACGGCCAAGGGCAGGCGGTCTCCCGCAAGCACGTGCTCATCATGGACGAGGTGGATGGCATGGCCGGAAACGAGGATCGCGGTGGAATGCAGGAGCTGATCGCCTTGATCAAGGACAGCTCCATTCCGATCATTTGCATGTGTAATGATCGCAACCATCCGAAGATCCGATCGCTGGTCAACTACTGCTACGATCTGCGCTTCCAGAGGCCGCGCCTCGAGCAGATCAAGGGTAAAATCATGAGCATCTGCTTCAAGGAGAAGGTAAAGATTTCGCCAGCAAAGGTGGAGGAAATCATAGCAGCTACCAACAATGACATCCGGCAATCGATCAACCACATTGCCCTCCTAAGCGCCAAGGAGGACTCCTCTGCTAAATCAGGACAACAGGTGGCCACCAAGGATCTTAAGCTGGGACCCTGGGAAGTGGTGCGGAAAGTCTTTACGGCCGATGAGCACAAGCACATGTCCATTGCCGACAAGAGCGACCTCTTTTTCCACGACTACAGCCTGGCGCCGCTCTTTGTGCAGCAAAACTACCTCCAGGTCCTGCCACAGGGAAACAAGTAATATTTTTCCCCTTCTGCACACACAAATATTCACCATCTTCGCCTATTTCAGGAAGGACATTCTGGCCAAGGTGGCAGCAACGGCCGATGCCCTAAGCTTGGGCGACCTCGTCGATAAGCGCATTCGCGCGAACTCGGCTTGGAGTCTGCTGCCCACTCAAGCCTTTTTCAGCTCGGTGCTGCCGGGCGAGCACATGTGCGGCCACTTCACTGGACAGATCAACTTTCCCGGCTGGCTGGGCAAGAATTCCAAGTCTGGGAAGCGGGCCAGACTTGCCCAGGAACTGCACGATCACACCAGGGTCTGCACCTCCGCATCCAGGCTGTCCGTGAGGCTGGACTACGCCCCCTTCCTGCTGAACAATATTGTCCGACCTCTGGCGAAGGACGGACAGGAGGGAGTTCCCGCCGCACTTGAGGTTATGAAGGACTACCACCTACTCCGCGAGGATCTGGACTCGCTGGTCGAGCTAACCTCATGGCCGGGAAGGAAATCACCCCTGGATGCAGTGGATGGGAGAGTGAAGGCCGCTCTGACCCGCTCCTACAACAAGGAGGTTCTGGCATACTCATATTCCGCTCAGGCTGGCATCAAAAAGAAGAAAGCGGAGGCGGGTGGCGGCGATGAGGATTACTTGGGTGCGGATCAGGGAGAAGAGGACGGCACTGGTGGTCACGTCTCCTCGGAGGACGACGAAGACAAGGACAACCTTGAGTTGGATGGTTTGATCAAAGCCAAAAAGAAGCCCAGTGCTTCCAAATCAGCTGGTGGTGCCAAAAAAGCAGCGTCTTCCGCGGCCTCAAAACCCAAGGCCAAGGCAAAGAAGTAAAGACACGATTGCTTTAATTCATTACTTCATATTTGTTTGCCATGAAATCTCCCCATTTACACAATATTTTTTTTAAATTGTCTTGCCGATGGTCCATCATAGCATTGACGGTCCGTTGTTTATATTGTTAAAAATATCAAGAATAATAAAAAGCGTTTTGGAAATCAATCGAAAAAATGTAAAGCACTCCAAACAAAATTAAAAAGTAAACAATCGAAGTTCCAGAATACATTTCAGGAAATGAGTAATAATTCACTGAAAGCTTTATAATTGTAAGCCATATTTAAAGTTTTGGGAAAAGTCTGTAGTTTGGTACACGTTATGATTTTATTCCTGCCATTTGGTCATACACCTAGTTAACTAAGTTTTATTCCTATAAAAAGCTTAAACTGATTTATTATGTATAGTGACGAAGCGCACCAGGAGAGTGTGCGAAGGCGACTACTATATATACACGAAGAAATGAAAATCTGCTGTGATAGTCAGATCGTAATGAGTAATACACCAATCGAAAGGTATTGCAAAAACTTAAAGGATTGCATACCAAGACTTTAAGAAAATCAATTGGATTGGGAGAGAGAGCGGTGAAAGTGAAAAAGTAAAAATTTAGAAATTTGGAGCTGTTGGGGCCGGTGGGGATAAATGCCCCCTCGCAATGATTTACTTGTATTCCTTTTGAAAATACCCGTCGAATGAGGGGTCATTTGTCAAAATCCGACGCTCCGTTCAAAAGTTAAAGCCAAAATAAGATTTTCTTCTTCTTCCCAAAATGAAAATTTAATTCTGTTTGTCCACTTGTCCACTTGTCCACTTGTCCACTTGTCCACTTGTCCAAAACATGTTTTTTAAGTTCTGAAAATTTGATATGACGTTCATCACATCGATATAAAAAACTTTTGTTCTACCACTTTTGGAAAAACTCGCTAGTTTAGCGGGAAAACAGCTATAAATAGCTAAAATTCGGAAAGCCGTAACTTCTATACTACTAAAGCTACAGACTTGTGCTGCATCTCGTTTGAAAGGTATTTTGAAATGCTATAAACGCCTTCTATATGCAATTTGTGTAAATGTAATAGTTAAAAAAATATGAACAAAAGACAATTTTTTAAAACTTTTTTTTAGCTTTTTTTATTTTTCTCAAAAACGGCTCTAACGATTTTCTTTAAAACCTTAAACTGTATAGCCCTTGAGATTCCTTAAATTTTAGTATATAACACATTACTGTAAAAAGTCACGTTTAATAGTTATTTTTATACGAAAATAGCCACTGTTGCCAGCTCGAACAATTAACGCTCCCTGAGTATTGAATTTTGTGGGAGGGTATCCGAACTGTATTTTAGGGTCATGGAATCAGTAAATTTGCACTTAAGAGTTCCATATAGGAATCTTTTGTTCTACGACTTTTGGAAAAAGCCGCTACTTTAGCGGGAAAGAGCTAAAAATAGCTAAATTTCGTTAGTTTGTAAGTTCTACACTACTAAAGGTACAGACATGTGCTATACCTCGTTTAAAAGGTATTTTGAAATACTTCAACGCCTTTTTAACTCAATTTGTTAAAATACAATAGTTTAAAAATTATGATTGACCAATTTAAATTTAAATGTATATATTAGCTCCTATGAGAGCAAAAGTAAACAAACAAAAACTTCTGATATCAAATAAAAACACCTCTTAACGAGGTAAAAAACTAGTGACGACCGCACCTTCAACATACAAAAGTTCTGATATCAACATTTGTGACGAAAAATTATTACACTCGTCATTAAATAGACTTTCTAATATTTTCTCATTCGGCACGCTGCAATAGAAAATGCCTGTGAAGGGAAAAAGGTTGGAATAGTTTGCTAGGGCGGGCCGAATGAGAAAATATTAGAAAGTCTATTTAATGACGAGTGTAATAATTTTTCGTCACAAATGTTGATATCAGAACTTTTGTATGTTGAAGGTGCGGTCGTCACTAGTTTTTTACCTCGTTAAGAGGTGTTTTTATTTGATGTATATTCTCTCGGAATAAAATGTTTGTCAAAATACACGTGTTTATTGACAAAAAGCTCCCAAGCGTTTAATCACGAATTCGATTTGTTAGACTTCTGCATCACGAAAATGCCACTAACATTCTTTACGTTTTTTATACAGTTCAAAATTTTAAATTTCTGACTTTAAATTTTTTTTCTACATCACTACAATTTAGACAATTTTCATTTAATTTTAAGACCAATAGATTAAAGCCTAACTGGTCCATACAGATCAAACAAACAAAAACAACTCTTAACAAGGTAAAAATAGGGACGATAGCACCATCAAGACACAATAGTTCTGATAATAACTTTTGTATCTTTTTTGTCAAATAATAAAAATTGAGAAAAATTGCTCTCTATGAACCGCAATTATAAAAGCTAATTTGACTTTCTACTTGACTTTAATAAGTATTAGCAGGGCAGGCCCCTTTTCGTATCCTTGATCGGCAGTGATTCCTTAAGAACTCTGTGACTATGGATAACCAACATATAATTACATCACTTTTAAAAGTAAATCTAAAGAACCCCGGTTTAAGAAGGATACATTATTTTAACCTTTATTGGGGTCTTTGGCGTCATAAAGTAAATCCGAAGAACTCCGGTTTAAAAAGGATAAATTATTTTAACCTTTTTCGGAGTCTTAGTCGACATAAAAACACAAGCTTAAACGTTTTTTCATTTTTAAATACAATTTTTTATTTATAAATCAATGATTTGACAATAATTACAAATAAATGTAAGTACGTAACATCTTTTTAAAAAATTCAAAGTGCCGAAGGCGAAAACAATTATTTTCGCCTCCGACGCTTTGTCTTTTTTTTAACTGGTTAACCACACGGAGTCTCCAGCTGAGCAAGCAGTACCTAGTCTCCGAAGAAGAAGCAACATTTCAAGCGCAGAGTAACCAAGAGAACCAAATCTATAAGCTGGTCAACAGTGCCTGGCGCCACGACTACTGGTGTAGCCTGACCCTTCTCCTCTACAGGACAAGTAAGTGAGCGGACTCCTGCAACTCATCAGGGAGCTCTGCGAAACGCTGATCGCCAATGCAGCGCACCCCAAAACAGGATCCTACCGCACATCTCTCATTGCTTTACACCAGAAGCCGGCCAAAAAGTGTCACAAACTAATGGAAGAAGCTATCCCCCAAAAATCCACCAAGGAGAGCGTCGTCCTGCTCACGGAGATCTTTCTGGGCATCGAGGACTCTTTGCAATCGCAGAACTTCGTATATAGAGCTTAAATCTCCCCTACGTGCTAAAAGGGAACTAGTCATTGTGCTGTTTTAGACACAGCTTTGGAATCCCGATATAATCGGCTGAGTTCCATATGCCACCGGAAACAATTTGAGTACCATGTTCCTGCGCAAATACTCGATTTCCGTCTGTGAAAAGGTGATCCGCAGATCTCGCGATATGTATATTCTCTGCGAACATTCTGCTAAATACTTCGCAATCATTTGTTGGCGCACATTCGGTGCGCTCTCAATCAAATAGCCGCCGAACGGCTCCTTGTGATCATTCAATGATTTCGTGGGCAGAGAGGCCTTTAAGGCGTCCAGGACGGTTTTCTTCGAATGCCCCATGGAATCATAGCAGTGGTTGGTTTTGCTCCGCATATAAATGCTGTAAATGATGTAGACTGCGTGCAGTTCACTGGCACAGGAACCACGTACTTGGAGGATTTGCCTACCCTTACGCGGAGGGAAACCAGAAGACCCTCAAAACGAAATTTCGATGGGCTTGGAAATATTGAAAACACTGCGACAGTTTGCAAACGGTTGGTATAAGCGCAGGAATGGTAAATCGGGCAACGGGGAGGCAGCCCCGAAAACCAAAAGTGTGAACATAGCTGGAATGGCTTTATCGCATATACGGAGGAAAGTTTGCCAGTTCACGGCAATGAATGTGCAGGTATAAACTTGGCAGCAACATCCTGCAATTATTAATAATTAGCATTTAACGCATATTAATCCAAATCATTGGCTTACAGTCGGTGAATCGCCGTGCATCAAGTCGTTATAGCGCTTCATGTGCTCCTTGGTAAGCGGAATGAGCTTAGTTCCCTTCTTTTCAACCGAAGATTGGCTTGGGGCTGATATGGTTATGTTAGTCTATGCTGCCATTAGCTGTGCAATTTGAAAAAAAACATTTTAATACCGGTTATCTACAGATTGGATGACATGATGGAAACTTACTCCGCAACAGCCAATTCACGACGGTGTTCGGATTCCTCCTGCATTCGAGCCGACTTGTCCTCTAACTGCTCCACGAAGTCATCCTGAGATAGGTCAGGAAGCTTTCAGAAGATTTCAAAGCGCCACTGATGAGTGATACAAGTATTTAATTTTTATAAGATTTTAAAATATTCAGGAAAGACACTAACGTGTGGGCGGTTTCGTGTTGGCTTTTCTTTCATTCGAGCTACTATATTAATGACAGTAATTATCGCCGAAGACTCGGAGCTGGACTGAGGTAATGCTGGTGTCTTTTTTTTTGGCGCTCTGCCTGGCTGCAAATCAATCTGGCATAAAATCAATAATTTATAAAAATCTTTGAATAACTGTTGTTAGTTGTAAAATAGATAAAAGTCCAACGATAAAGCCATTAAAATAATTCAATAAAGTGCATCAAAATAAACAAAATAGATACGCGTTTTTACAAAAGTTCTTTCTATTTCTCTTCACGTTTAATTTTAAGGGAATTAATAATTAAGATAAGAAAAAACGGATTAATCAAAAGAGCTTACCGTCATTTCCAGGATTAATTAGTCATTCCTGTCCAGTTCTGTTCGTACCTTTGGTTTCCGGGCCTGCTTCCCCGTTAGCCGATTCTGCTTTTCTCTGCTTATAGCATCCGGTTACAAACTCTCGCAGTCTCTTTATTATTTTCAAGCCCACCGAAATTTTGTGTTGAAGGTGTTCTGGTTTCCTTCCGTGTAAGGGTGGGCAATTTCTCCAAAAACGTAATTCTTGTTCCAGTGCAGAGCATCTCAGTATACTGGTGCATGGCCATCGTACTTATGCGGATCAAATCCGTCCCCTGTTATGATTCCATGGAGCATTGGAACCAAAACAGTCCCGAACGCCTTAAAGGCCTTTCTGGCCAAGGAGTCATTGAATAAGCGCAGGAAGGCGTTCGCCTCCAGCAAATTTGGGATTGCGAGCGCAACGAATGTGCCCCAACAAATGCAGAGTATTTAGCCGTATGCTCGCAGGGAATATATCGCGAGATCTGCGGATCAGCTTTTCTCAGACGGAAATGGAGTATTTGCGCAAGCAAATGGTACTCAAATCGCTTTCGGTAAGATATGGAACTCAGCCGATTATATCGCTTTTCCAAAGCTGTGTCCAATGCCGCACAGTTACTAGTGCCCGTTTAGCACGTAGGGGGGATTGAAGCTCTTAATACGAAGTCCTGCGATTGAGGAGAGTCGTGGATGCCCAGAAAGATCTCCGTGAGAAAGATCTCTCCTTGGTGGATTTTTAGCGGATAGCTTCCTCCACCAGTTTGTGACACACTTTGGCCGGCTTCTGGCGTAAGGCAATGAGAGATGTGCGGAGGATCCTGTTTTGGGGTGCGCTGCATTGGCGATCAGCGTTTCGCAGGGCTCCCTGATGACTTGCAGGAGTTCGCTCACTTACTTGGTCGGTAGAAGAAGAGGCTCAGGCTCCACCAGTAGTCGTGGTGCCAGACGCTGTTGACCAGCTTGTAGATTTGGTTATCTCGGTTACTCTGCGGCCTTAAATGTTGCTTCTGCTTAGGAGACTAGGGACTGCTCCCTCAGCTGGAGACTCCGTGTGGTTGACCGGCTCCATCCGGCTGGTTGTCCTCTAAGCTGATTACCTTGTTCCGTACAACTGCCGTCTATTGAATACTCTTTCAAACTTCTCGCAAACCTCTGGCAAACTTTTGGTTTTCTTGCAAGTCATGGGATAAAATCTCCACGTCGTCGTCGAGCAAATGAAAATGAAAAATGAATGACAGTTATCATCATGACAGGAGCAGAAAAAAACCAGGGCTTCTCACTTAGATGGGTGTTTTTTTGAAAGCAGGAAAACTTGTTAACCAGGGAGTGAAAAAAGCTAGGCAAAAATTCGTCAAAGATTAAAAATGGTGAATTTTGTAATTATTTGGGGACAGTAAAAATCGCCTCTTCAAGAACCATCCATAAGGTCCATGGTTTTGTCGATCCGAAAATTTCCCAGTTAGTCGGCCGTTGAAATTTAACGGACTTTGACTGCTCTTTTATGCGATAGTTAGGCGATGTTTGTGTTTTTAAGAAGTTCGCTTTATTAAAATCAAATCTATAAGATGCCCTTGTGTTTTTTCTGCTCCTGTCATTTAATATTGAGGGTTTTCCCTAAACTGTTGAATTGCTAATGTGTTGAAATTCAACAGAAAATTTTAGCAATTAAGGGAACGACCCAAAATGGTTCCTGTTGAATTTTCAAACAGCTCTTAGTTGTTGAAAAGTTTCATGGAACTTAAAACATGTAAAAATAACAATAAATATGCTTTCTAAGCTGATTTTGAAATAAATAATGACTTTTAAAAAAATAGGTGACAACTCTGGTTTTCAATGATTCAACTATACGTCATTAACTCAGAGAGGAGAGAGGGAGAGAGGCGAAGTAACAGCGAGCACGAGAGCACGCAATTTTGGCCAGAGCTCTGTGGTAACACGCCATCTACAACAGCCCTGTTACCACCCACCAATGGATCGGAACATGGATAGGGGCTAAGCGGTGACTGCAACCGGCAGTGTTTCATCGATGTTTTTCTTCAAAACATCGAAAACATCGATGTCTGGGAACCTCGATGTTTCCACCTCTAACCTATCCGCCAAAGTATCCGTGGGCCAAAGTATCTGTGAGCCAAAGTATCTGTGAGTTTTTTCCCCGAAGTCAACGCGAACGGACTGCACGTACTGAGGCAGCGGAAAATGCAGGAAAAATTGCTAGAAAAATCAGAGGACAGCATGTGCGGGAAACTCCGACCAACCGAATAACTGTGCGATCGACTTGATTCCTGCAGCTGCCGCGGAAATTCAGCGGAGTTGTGGATTTTTTCGCACTGAAAAATTCTCGGCTTACGCGCGCCTGTGTGTGTGAGTGTGTATCCGCGTCCGTGTAAAGGGCGCAGCTCGGCGAAAAACAACACCCAGAAAATGAGCAATTCCAGCCTGCCATCGCGCTATTAATTAAATTGAAATTAATTGCAGTTCAAAGCGTCAAACTCAACGGGTTTTCTTTGTTTTTTGCGCAACTCGCAGCTCTGAAAATTCAATAAGCACGTAAATTCCAGCACACACACATACGACCCCAGCCGCGCACGCACACCGACACAACGCTGCTGAGCTGGGCGACAGAACGAGAAAGAGAGAAGGCAAGTGTAGATGTGGACTTTGTCCCCCTCTTACACCCCCTTTTTGAGCGCCCTCCCCATCGTTGTTGTTGTTGGGCCAGGCACAAGGACGCACACACACACCCAGCCTCCCAGCTCACGCATACATACATGCTCCCCGACAAAGAGCCAGGGTTTTTCGGCCGTCTTCCTCTTCCTTTTCGGTAAACAGGTGCCGCGCCTTGTGCCGTTACTTTCGGTGGGGCTTCGTGTTTTGGCAACACATGTTTACCTTTTTAACACTCGCAGTGTGGGCCCAAATGTCATTAAAATAAGAGTAGGAGGGTTAAGAGCGGGAAAGAGAGAGTGAGAGTGCTGTGAATGAAAGATTCAGATTAACGGGAATTATTCAAAATATTTACGCAAATTGCACAGTGAAAAGTATACATAAAATAAACGTAATTAAATCTACTTAGACAATAGCTATGCATATATTTATATTTTGTAGCACTTCTTAATTAATACATTTTCAAGACAACTCGTTAGCCCTATACTTTTTTGCAAAAATGTTTTTATTTCTTTTATCATGAAAACTTTTGACAAACATGAAAACTAGAAAAAGCTTTATAACTGTTAGAATAAAACTTAGAACTAGTTTTTTTATTCGGTTAAAATAGGTTTGTTTTGAAAAATAACCACTCTTTTTTACGTTCTTCTCCGCCTTCTTATCGCCCGTTTTCACATTTCCTTGCACACAACGCTCCAAATTCAGGTCATTGCATTTGTTTGACTTGCCACCCATGGAACCACCCACTCACACCCCTCATTCTCGCTGTCCCTTTCTTTTGCCCTCGTCCTGCGTGCGAATGTTGATTTTTCAATAGATATCGCTTTCGATTTACTCGACAGTCTGTTAAAAGACAACTTTTTGTTATTTTCCGCCTTATTGGACTCTTAAGTTTAATCGCTTCATGAGGTCAGCGCATTTTCGTACTCCATACCTCGTATCTCTATTTGCATAGTGACGAAACTCAATAATCACGCTCTGCAAAAGGACCGAAACTGAACACAGGGAAATGGAAAACGTGATAACAAAGAAACAAAGAATACTGTTACACGGTTCATATAACGGTTTTGGTATCTGTATCTAGAATGCAGCACAAACAGCTAGAAATCAAGTAGGGATCGTTGAGGAAATGGTAACAGTCTTTACTGCATAAGATGGTCAATTTTAAATTACATTTGACTTACCCTTAAATATATCTTTTTATAAGATATTATTTTAATCAACTATTCTGTCCAATTAAGATACAGTAGTTAAGAACTTCGGTATGGTGATTCTTCGTTCTGTGGGAGTTTTGACTGTATTCTATATTTATACACCGCTTACATGCCCTCCTTATCAGCAGAACAGAGTGCATGTGTGTGCGTGATCTGGGCGAGGGGGAGGGAACGCGGCAGAGATAAGCCAGCGACAACACACTTGACTGAAGCGAACGAAACCGAAGCCGATAAAAATACCCGTTTGTTAGCATAGCCGCTCGTTCATTTTTTGGCAACTCAACCACCCTTCTGACATCATCATTGGAGTTTTTGGGGTCGAATCAAAGTGTCTGTTTAAGCTTGTAAGACTAGGTTCTTTAAATAATACAACAGAACAAAAATCCTATTTTTCTACTTATCATTTATAAACAAATGTATCAGGAAAATGTACATTTTGAGAGCTTGCATAAAAATATAGCGATAAAGAGAAAACGTTTATATTATTAAAGGCATCGTCTGCATGATGCAAACTAAGAAAAAAAATTCGAAACATTCTTTTTTTTTATGAATTTTGGGTTTATACTTGCATTGAACTTTAATTATACACTAAATTGAAATATTTGATAATTTGTAAATCGTAAATCAATAATAAGTAGATCACTTCGAAACCGAATCTAGAACTAATTTGCTAGTGAGACCTATAAACATTGGTTGAGTTCGCATTTATTACTATTAAAATCGGTTCAGATTTTCTTTTGGTCATGCTTGAAATACCTCAGCCTAGATATGGCGAATGTCGAAGCCATCACACGGATGCA